TACATTTATTACACTCGTATTCTATGCCTATCCAACATCATTTTCAATATAAATTATTAGGATATGGTTATTGTCACAAAAGTTTTAAGGATTTTTTTTAGTGTAATAAATATATATTTTTGTTTATAAATTTATGTTAAAAATTTATTTTTAATATATTAATTATTTAATTAAATTTATTTATTTAGTACTACTACTAAAATTAATATTAGTTTTTTTATATGCATTTATAACAAAAATATGTTATTAACATGTGCTTTTAAAATATAACTTAGAAAAACTTAAATTGTAATATATTTTCAAAATTACCAATTAACTCGCTTTGGTTTGGGATATTTGACCATTAGAAATTATTTATAATTGATAGAATAATTAATATTTATTGCTTAATAGATTAAAATTAATTTATAATTGATGTTTACATATGGGAAAAAGGAAAAATTAGAACATTTTGACATTAAATAGTAGCCCAACGATACATTTGATAAATTTAAGATTTACATGATATCCGATATATTTTAGTATTTTTAATATCAAAATATCTTAATTTTTCTTTTTCTTTTATATAGATTATAACTAACTATTTTAAAAAATACCAAATAATAAAATATCAATCAAAACTAAACACACATACATGACCATAACATATTCATGTATGCCCATAACTACACCCAAATTATCATTTTGTGTGTTTTCTGTGGCTGTGAGGAGGTGAATCATTTAATTTGTTTATAAAATGTAGATATACATATGGCCTGTGGGTGGAATGCTACATATGAGTGGTGGGGTATGAGTTTTCCATGTCCAGGAGTATTTAGTGAATTTTTTATGAACTTTATCTATGGGGTAGAAACCTATGGCGGGCCAAGCCTATTATTTTTCTTTTTATCACTCTGCTGGTCGATTTGGATACATAGGAATGAAATTGTTTTAGGAGCTGCTCTTGGGACGCAGGGAGAGGGTTAATTTTTGAGTTGATGCAGACGAATTGAAGGTCCTTTGCTAGGATTAAAGTGAAGAAGTCACTGGCAGTCTTTGATTTTGGCAGTTGGTGCCAATTCCCTGTGCTATGTGCTAAGGATACTTTTAAAGATTGATAGTATAGAACTCACTGATGAGGCAAGTCAGGTTTGTTGTGAAAATTAATCATGTGTATACGTAGGTGTATCGCTTGAATTCCGTTTTAATAAAATTTGATTTGCTATTAAAAAAAAATTTGTACATTCCCTCTGCATTAATTAATGGTTTACTTGCAAAAAATTGCCTCTGTGTCAACAATTTTTCTTAATACATATTGTAATTATATTTTTAAAATAAAAATAAAATAAAAATAAATACATTAATTTTTTTAAAAAATAATTAATTAAATTTAAATATTTTAAATTTAAAATTACGTTTATCAAAGTTAAATAGATAGAATATTTAAGATTTTATATAAAAAGCTAAAAAAGACACTTAATTAAAGACGTAAGCATTGTTTCTAAAAGAAACACTATAATTAGATGTGTGCGGCGTCTATGTGTGAACCGCCTACCTACCAAAGCTTTTTTTGGGCAAAACCTAAGTTTTTTAAGTTATCTTAAACCAAAGCTTTTTTCATTTTTTTGAAGATATCTTTTATTATTATTATTTGAAGACATGTAGACTTTAAAGTCTTCATGCCACACAATCATACATAGTTAAAAAATTAAAAAAAAAGAAAAAAAAAGGGGTCTTCATATCACTGTTTCTATCTTTCACTAATTTGTCAACATTTGGTTTTGTTAAATGGGCCAGAGATTATAAAACATGAACATCAAATAATAGAGGGACTACAAGATGATTTCCACAAAGGTTTAATCCAACTATTGTCCTATAGTTCATGTACCACTTTCATCACGTTATCTATTTGTAGGTTTGGTTGGTCAAGCTTTTTTTTAAAAATATTTTTTGAAGATATCTCCTCCTTCTTCTTCTTCTTTATCTAGAGACCTATAGACTTCAAAGTTTTCATGCCACACACTCATACATCGTTAAAAAAAGGGGGTCTTCATATCACTGTCTCTATCTTCATATATAAAGATCGTAAGTATTATTTCTAAAAGAAACACAATATAATTAGATGTGTGTGGCGTCTATGTGTGAACCGCCTACCTACCAAAGTTTTTTTTGGGCAAA